ATATATATGAGACTGCATGTGATTATTAGTATTCATTTTTTTATTTTTTAAGGTAGAAGAGTACAATTAAAGTAAAATAAATATTTAAATGGACTTACTACTTTAACCCCATTAAAGTCCCGGGAGTTGAGCTCACCATCGGTGACGGCCTTCGTACGGTACAGAAAAATTTGGCGGGCAGTCACTATCATTACCGCCGACGCAACAACATCCATGGCCGTAGGATGGGTTAGGCCACCTTCATAAATGGGACCATTGGTCCCACGGCCAAACCTGGTTTCGTCGCCGGAACCCTTTGATCACATGATTCGCACGTACTGAATAAGCAGACAACGTGGCCCGTGGCCTGGTCATGTGGGCCCCACCAGACAAGGCCTGCTTGCGACTTATCCTCAAGATACGTACAGAGGATTTCGATCGTTGGATAGGAAGATGGCAGTATCGTGATTCATGGTGTACGGAGGGCCAAATTAGGTATATGTTTTTATAAGAGTATAGAGACAAATTGTTTCTTTTACATTTCGTTTATATAAATGTCAAAACAAGTCAGAAATTTTTAAAATTGTGATCGAAGATGTTTTCATGGACGACTATTATAGCTAAATTTTAAAATATTCTGAGATTAAAATAACCCATGAGTAGTGATAAGATTCACCCAAGACCTCACGAGAGGGGAGATCCGGTTGAGACAATAAAGTGACCAAGCATATGATACATAGGTCCTTTAAGACTTGAGCCAAACAATAAGTGAGCCAGAATCATCTGACGAAACAAATCAACCCATCCTTTGACTGATTGAAGCAACAAGTCTCACATAACCATATCAACTAGACCTCTTGTCAAGACAGACGACAGCATTCCCGACCAACCGATTGCACCCTCTCAACATAGGCACATATCAAACGACCAACCAGTTCGATCGGCCACTCATCAATCGTTTGCTTGATCTGATAAGCCATTGTAAATCATTATTCTATGTCAATATTATGACGATCATTGATTCAAATTATACGCATTAGTTATATTAAGGGGAGTTATCATAATGGTTATCATATTCCTTAATTGTACTAATCAAACACTTTTAAATAAGCGGTCTAAAAGGAATAAAAAGCTCGACTTTGGCTTCTTCTTGAGGAAATTATCGTGCCCTATCTTTCTCTTGTCTCTCTCGATTCCGACTCTCGTGGTGTACTTACCAAAAGACAAGTTAGGATCCAACAATCCACATGCTCTATACACAAATCAAATCACAATTTTTTTTTGGGAAAGACAAACTTATCAACTTCTTTTCCAAACACATCAAAGCACCTCAATCATAATAAAGTTATTAACCAACCGCAAACACAGCTCAAATCACAATTTTTTTTGGGAAAGACAAACTTATCAACTTCTTTTAGAATCAATTACATCCTCCTCATTCTTTTCATCAAACTTTGTTGCTAAATCAATCTTTTTTAGCGATGATTGTCTTCGACGCTGCGCTACAAACTCAATACACTGTCTGATGATTGCCAGAGCAGTGTGGTGAGTATCGAAGTCGTTCTTAACGACCGTCAGACCCCCACATTTCGTCGAAGACTCTGCAGTGTAGTTCTCGATGAAGTAGACACAATCAGTTCTTGCACTGAAGGCTACTTCGAGCTTGAGTTCCTCTTGCTTACAGTATCCAAGAGACCTCTTATGAGTTAATACTACCAATAGAGGCAGCCCTGCAAAGTAATTATATATATGGTCTTAGTTTACTGAAATTTATAAAGAGTAGTTTTATTGATTAAATTTTAGAGAAATTTACATACACAACACCTAATTCTTATGCATTTACGTATTTCACATAGAAACTTTCATTTTTACAGTCAAACCATCTAATTCTTTCTTATCACATAAAAAAACAACTCGAAAATTGATCCGAAGTTTACCTTGGATTCAAAATAAACGAGCAGCACTACGAGCTTGAATTTTAGATCAAATAGTTTTAGCCGATTTCAAGCTGGCCATAGGTCGGCTCGAAATCAGATCGTTAACAGTCCTACTAATATTATGACCGTGAATTTAACAAATTTAACTCGAAAATTGTTAATCGTTTGGAAATTGATTCAAATTTTGGCCAGGATCAACATAAAGAGCCAAAATTTTGAATCGCTAATTTCAAGTAGATCCGAACTCAGATAGAATTAGAAGGGTTAACATCCCAATGTATATGTATGATAATTGGGCGATCCATATCTAAATTTCCCTGAATTTTATCTATAAATATTCAATTTTTTTAACAAATGAGGAAAAAAAAGTTAAAAAAATGATTTTTATGAGCGATGATCCCACCTCTGTTCCTGAGCTCGCCGGCCATTTCCGTCAGCCGCCTGACGGCCAGGCGGCGTTCCCTCTCCTGCCGGCTACATCTCATCACCAGCACCACGCACTCCGGCGAAACTGTTTCGGCAGCAGCGATCATCACCACCGCCGTCTCCGCCGACGGCGGGGCCGACGGCGGAGCATCAATGACCTCCACCACCATCTCCGCTTCCCCCACCTTCTCCACCCAACCACCGCAACTGCATCCCGCGGCCGCTGCCACGCTCACCGCCAACCGCATGGCCTTCGCCGGAGGAAATCCCACCGGCGACGTCTCCGACCGGAGAATCAACGGCCCCTCCTCTCCTGCGAGCGCGCGGCAGGCCGTGTTGATGAATGCGCTCTTCCCGTGTCCCCTGAATCCGAGGATGAGGATTGCCGGAGGAGAAGCGGCGCCGCCGATACCGACGGGGAGATGAAGAAGAGCGTGGAGGATGTTGCGGCGGAGGGAGAGGAGAGCGAGTGATCTCTGGTGGCGGTGTAAGGAGAGGAGCGCAGCCGTGGCGGGGGGCGTGCAGCGGCGAGTTTGAGGAGGAGAGGGAAGGGAGGGTTCATCCGTCTATGGAGGGTAATTGTGCAAATATATTTATTTATATTTGTAATTTAGGAGGCTGAATGAGTAATGTTTTTATTTAGAACTATAAATGAGATGGTTCTTCATCTCTGTGTAAAGGAAAGTTCGATTCTTTGCCATATGTGGTTGCTTTAGTTGTATGTATCCCCTAGCTTTTCTTATGGATTAAGGCTTAACATTATTAAATGATAAGTATATGGTTATATTGTTTGCATTAGAGAAATGAAATAATTATAGTGATTTTAAAGCTAATTTTGCCATAAAAGTCTGTTTGGATATATTTGTCATAGCATATAAATAAAACACATCACTTCCTTTACCTTTTTTGGTTAAAGGCCATCCATGATAACTTAGAGAAAATTTTAGAGGGGAAATTTTATAAAGGGGCATTTACATATATACCGCACAATTCTTATATATTGTACATAAAAAAATTTGCTAGCACAAATTCTAGGAGATCCAATAGTTTAAAAGAGAGGAAGTAGGATAAAAGAGGGTGCACTGACAAAAGATGAGGAAGCCTACTTATCTGAGCCGAAGCTGAAGCGAGATAGATAAGAAACTCAGCTAATCACTACAAGAGTGTCGAGCAAATCAACCTATCTTCTAAGCGATCCGACCCGAGGAAAAAATATGGTTCCTCAATATCATCGGTCATCTCACGAAAGCCCTGTGGGCTCCTCATTAGAGAGCAAGAATTGATAATAAAATGAAACGTATAGTCATCTAACATGCTCTCATCGTCCATGAATGAGTTACTTATCGGGTTACAGTTATGCATGATAGTCCAGTCTCGCTCCGTCGATAGGAGCTCCTTATCCGTGGATCAAGAACAGTCAAGCTAAATCAACCGATCGACAAAATCTAGCCGACTAAATCAATCCCACCGACTCAAAACTAGTCAAGCTCAACAAACTAGCACACTGGCCCAGCCTATCACCATACTAGCCCAGCCAAGAGCAGTCGAGCAACAAACTCAAATATATAAAATACCTAAAATATCTTGTAATAATATCAATGTATAGTGCCTTTTCCCATATAAATAGAAAGTCCATTTTATATATAGGACAAGGTAGACAAGATATTTTATTGTTTATTATTGTTCATTACTCGCAGTCTCTCTCTCTCTTCTTTCTTAATATATATTTACTAATATTTACAGGTATAAGGCCATATTTTTAACATCTATTAAAACCACTATTACTAACCATTCAAAAATAAAAGACACATTTTTCATGCATCTCTTCATAACATCAAAATGTTATAAATGTAAACATTAAACTTTATGTGTTACATATATAAATGTATAAGAATAGTATGGTATGTATGTAATAATGTAAATCTATAAATGTAAATATTTAGCATATATATAAATGCATAAGAATAGTATGGTATGTATGTAATAATGTAAATTCCCTTTTTATGAAACCCTTTTTTTTTGTTTATTTTATAAAATTTTGATGTAATAAAATATAAAACAAACATTAATCTCAATGGAAAAAACTTTTTTAGCTATACTACATATGGGCAATGAAGTCATCAATGATGTGTTACCGTACAGCATCATTGATGACTTCATTAATAACAATTAATGAAAGATATAATATGAGCTTAATCTCTACAAAAATCCAAGTAATATTGCATATTTTTTTCTCATTAATAACAATTAAAATGAAAGACATTGCGTGTGTTATATAAATAAGGGAAGGAATTAATTAATTTCACCAAGAAGAAAATGCTATAATGTAAAAAACCATTTTGTAATATTCTTTTCTTGAAAGAATTATGCTCAACTTTAACAATATTTCTAACTTTATAGTACATTTTTGTCCTTGCTTTAATGGGCAGATAAATGATATTTTAGGTATTTTATATGTATGATCTTATTACTCGTCTATCATATGGCTTGGTTGACAAGACTGACTCGACTTAAGGTAAGTGAAGTCGATTCAATCTGTTAGGCTGAGTAGGTGCAACCGGTCGACTTGTCTTGATTGGCTTCAAGTCATGAGGAGTGGCTCGATTGGGTAGACTTTGTCAATCGGTTAATCTAGTCAAGCTATCAACCCTAAATCCCTGGATGAAAAGTTTATGTCGACAGAACGAGACTACGCTATCGAACATAGGTTAAATCATTGACGAGGGAATCCTTCAAGATGAGTATTAGACTACATTTCTCAGCCTTGGCCCCTCATGAAGAATCTCAAGGGCATACGTTGGACGGCTGGTGATGTCGATGGACTGGATTGTTTCCTTCAGTTGAATCCACCGATAGATAGGTCTATGACTTTGTTCGACCCTCCAGTGATGGTTAGCTCATATGCTAGTCTCTCGTGCTCTTCCTTTTTCTTTTGACTCAGCTGACCTTTATCTTTGGCTCAAATGGCTGCATCCATTAGGTTAAATGGGACGTCTTGATCTCCTATCGATGGATCTTTCTTTATTTTACTTTCTTCTCAACACTTGGATCTTGGGACATTTCCTTGATATGCGTGTTTATATATATATATATATATATAAGATTATAATATCATATAAATCATGCCAAAATATGTCACCTGGTTTGGTTATTATTCCAAAAAAAAAAAAAAAAAAGAAAAAAAATCATGAATGACTCATTCGTCTCGAGTTCTCTCTGCCTAAATCGGTGACAGGTGAAGTCATTTACATTTTTATAAAATGGAATAGGGGCATTTATATGCAGAACATCCTATTTTTATGTGTTTAACTTCAAAAAAATGAAATACACCATTTTCTAGCATGCATGTAAAAAACTGATCTTTATAAGTTAGATGTGTAAATACATATTAAATTGAGGGGCATTTCACTAAATCTTTCATTTAAATGATAATAAAACATAGTTATGTATATGTCAAGAAAAGATAATATATTGACAATGTTTGCAATATATTGACAATGCCAAACACAAATTTAACTTTGTTGGGATATTTACATACATACACCTCTATTCTTATGTGTTTAAATTCCTAAAAAGTTTTGGTGTTAGATATGTAAATACATAGGAAACGTTTAACTTCAAAAAAATGAAATACACCATTTTCAAGCATGTGTCACCTAGCATGCATGTAAAAAACTGATCTTTATAAGTTAGATGTGTAAATACATATTAAATTGAGGGGCATTTCACTAAATCTTTCATTTAAATGATAATAAAACATAGTTATGTATATGTCAAGAAAAGATAATATATTGACAATGTTTGCAATATATTGACAATGCCAAACACAAATTTAACTTTGTTGGGATATTTACATACATACCCCTCTATTCTTATGTGTTTAAATTTCTAAAAAGTTTTGGTGCTAGATATGTAAATACATAGGAAACGAGCGGTATGTATGTAGATTTTCCAACTACTATCCACTACTAAGGATGTGGGATGCATTGGCCTTTGTCTTCTCAGATCAAAAATATACATACCACTCAATTCCTGTGTATTACATACGCAACACCTAAACTTCAATTTTTACACACATACCACCTTGCCTATGTATGAAAATGTGTATTTCACTTTTGAAAAGGTAAAATGGTGGTATGTTTTGATGTGATATAAAAGATTTGGGTGCCGTAAATGTAAAAAAGTAAAGTTTAGGTGTTAGATATGTAAATAGACAGGAATTAGGTGGTATAGCTGTAAATACCGCAAAAAATTATGCCAGGGTCTTTCATTATGAAACAGAACAAGTGAAGTGAAATGGGAACGGCAAGACAATGCACAATATTTCCTTATCATAGCCGGAATCATTATAATCCTTTGAATGCGGCAACAGAATATGAAGGAGCATTTACATACATACCACATAATTCAAATGTATGTATTTACATATCTAACAACTAAACTTCAATTTTTAAATACCGCACAAATCTTGTTTATTTTCAAATATGAAACCTAAACTTCCGTATTTACATGCATAACATTCAAATCTTTAACATCGTACCAAAAACACTACTAACTTTTTAAAAGTTAAATACAACTTTTCATGCATAAGTTTATGACATCAGGGTAGTATGATTGTAAATATCAAACTTTTAAGTATTAGATACGTACATACATAAGAAATCTGCGGTATATATGTAAATTTCCTAAGAAAATAGATCAAAGTGTTCATAATATACAAAAGAAGAGGCCAACGACCGCCATAAACAGAAATAAAGGGAGCGAGGTATTCTAATTCAAAACTCATTTCACCATTTGAAAATTACAAAGACTTGCTAAACACAAGGGGCATTTACATACATACCACTTGATTCTTATGTATTTACATATCTAACATGACCTTTCATATTTACATACATAACACTCTAATCATTAAAATCAAATCAAACATAGCACTACTACTAACCTTTTAAAAGTAAGGTACATATTTTTCGTGCATAGTTTTATAACACCAAGGTGTTAGAAATGTAAATATCAAACTTCAGTTCTTAGATATGTAAAAACAAAGGAATTGTGTGGCCTGCATGTAAATTTCCCTAAACAAAATATATTAACATTTGTTCCAAAATTACATAAAAGCGCCAAAACAATTACCTCAAGTACCATAATTGGGACCGCGGGTGGATGCCGGTGGCCCGTATGAGTATCTCCATTGCTCGCATATCGAGCATTTGTCCAATTTTATGCTGTTCTCCAAAGTACAGAGCTTGCATGACCAGGTTTTGTGTTTGGATTCCAAAGGTCTAGGTTTTTGGGCTTCGCAGGCCTCACATATTGGTGCCAGTGGCTGTGTAAAACATAAATCACACCAAGACATAATACACAGAGATTATGCAAACATTAAACATTTGTGCAAATTTAAGGAAGTGAAGGAAATTAAAGATATCAAAAGATTAAAGTGAAAAAATAGTCCTTTGGCTATTTATATGAGGTTATTTTAGTCTCAGCATATATAACGTGCCAAATTAATCCCCAGTCTCTTTTAATGGAGGCTAAAAGTCCTCCGCGTAGATTATTTTAAACGATATTAAAAGAGACGTTTCAAACTAAAGAAGGAAGGACAAATTTTATGTGAAAGGAAGGTAAAGAACAAACCTGATTCAATAGAGTGCACACTTTGCATTCCCATAACAGCTTGTCATCTTTATTTTCGATTGCCGAAATAGAAGATGTAGACAGAGATAGCGGTGTGCTCCTATGGCAGCTGCTATTGACAGTAGATAAAAAATTTACATACATAGTACTTAATTTGTATGTATTTACATATCTAACACCTATACTTCAATTTTTACATACATGCCATCTTCCCTGCTCTTGAAAAGGTGTACTTGGCTTTTTAAAAGTTAGAATGATGGCATTTTTTATGTGATATGAAAGATTTGGGTGATACAAATGTAAAAATCAAAATTGAGTTGTTAGATATGTAGATACATGAGAAGTAGGTGGTATGCATGCAATACACCAAAGTAGTTTCATTAAATGAGTTGAGAGAGCTAGTAGCTAAACCACCATAGAAAGTAGAATTCCTGCTTTGCACTACATACCTCGAACTGTTTGAAGATTCTCCGAGTTCTTCTAAACCATCGATCATTTCGATTTCACGCGAGACCGAACCGCACCACAAATCATCCTGCATTCTTCTTTCAGCTGCCATTGCAGCAGCTTGTATGGGACTAAGAGCACACATAATAACATCATCGCCCCCGAGCCGCCTTGGACCAGATGGCAATAGAGCACCGACTCGTGCCCGTTTCTGTGCTGCAGCCAAAGCAGTTTGTCGAAGAGATGATGGAGGAGGCTGCCTAGTAAAACCACCCAAGCGTCTTCCAGTACCATCAAATCCTTCTCCAGTACCAGTTATTCCCTTCGCTATCAAATCATCACATTCCTGCGGCCATGCATGAAACCACGAACATCACTACTAACAAAAATTTGCAATTAAGGAAATGGTCAAATATAATGGAATTGAATCACTCTTACATTCCTTGAGATTGCATGCATAAGAAAATGCATTTTTGCATGAATAATTCTATGGTAAAGTATAAAAATTTTGCAACTATAGGTCTATATGTGATAATTTTTTGTCGATTTTGCATTTTAGATTGCCACCATAGTTTTGTATGATGAAACATTTGTTGCTTTCTAGAATTTTATGTGGTGGAAAGTTTTTTTTTTTTTTTTTTTGCAACTAGATCCATTAAAGTATGGTGTTTCAAGAAAACTTTCAACTGGCTTTATTTTGGAAAAAAATAAACATTTATAATTCTCACCATAGCATTCAAAGGAGTTGATTTCTCCACCACAATTTTCCAACCACATTCACAAAAAATTTGCAGCCGCCTCAAACAGAATCTAAAACCTAACTTGACAACACTTCTTCCATTCTTCTCGATAAAACTTAATGCATGCATAAATGTTTAAAACCTGATAACCTCAATCCACAATGATTAGCGAAGTGTCAAAATGCTATGATCTTCCATGGATAGATTGAAATTTCAATGTGCATGCAAATGGAGTCATTAACCCACGGTGTCAAGCCCCATAACACATGCATGAGTTTATTCTTCTACATGCGAATAGACTAAACTCCTCATTTGGCTAAACATCCAAACCGCTTTCCGTTTCAGATAAAGAACTTTATTTATTAACTTCTTTGGTTCTTATAGTTTTTAAGAACACTATTTAAAAAAACTGAATTTTCATACTATTTTGATATGCTATTCTTAGCAAACTTTTGAAAAATGAAAAGCTTAACCAAACGAAACCTAAATCATAGAAAAAATTTTCCATGCCGTAGTGCAAGGAATAACTGTTGAAATGGAAACCCAACAAAAATTTAGTGATGGAGATCCAAAATCATTCTGTTGTCCTACTGTTTCAGTCAACTAAAATTCAAACATAAGCTAATATGAAAAGGATGTCATGTTGCTCTGCAAAACTTAGCCAGCATATTAGTTTCCAACAAGCAACTAGCACATATTTCTCTTGTATTTTATAAATTTCGACAACCATCGGAGTCCATAAAGATCATAAGTGAGGGCTTCCATCAGCTTTATTTGTAAATAATAGCTTTCTTAAAGTCCAATATGCCAAATATTTAGAATGGAATGAATAATAAAAAAAACAGGGGAAATTTACATACATATCACACAATTCTTATATATTTACATATCTCACCCAAAGTTTGATTTTTACACTTGTAACACCTTGGTGTCATAAAGTTATGCATGAAAATGTGTATTTCACTTCTAAAAAGATAGTGATTTTGGTATTTTTCATGTGATGTCAAATATTTGAGTGGTATGCATGTAAATATGAATGTTAGGGTTTTAGGATATGCAAACACACGAGAATTGTGAGGCATGTATTTAAAATCATTCATGCAAAAGTAAATACACATGAATGTTTGGGTGTTAGGATATGTAAATACATAGGAGTTAAGTGTTATGTATGCAAATGCCCCTGTTAAATAGAATAACCTTAATCAAATAGTATGCATTTGATTGGCAAGAATATCATCTGATTAATAGGTACATTTACATACATACCACACAAATTCTCATGTATTTACCTATCTAACACCAAAAGATTCATATCTACAAACATAACACTCGAGTCACATAAAAAACACCATCATGAGTATTTTTTTTTAAGTGAAATACATTTTTTCATGCATAGTTGTATGACTCCAAACTGTTAATTTTTTACATATCAAACTTTAGGTGTCAGATATGTAAATACATGAAGAATTTTGTGACAAATATGTAAATTTACCTAAATAATCATGGATCAAATGGTCACCTTATCTTGTCAAATATATATGGAGTTGGTGAAGGTATGCATACCTTTCGGAGTTCATCCCATAGCTTATAGAACAGCGCATTGTGAGGGCCGTGCTCAATATGACAAAGCTCATGCAACATTGTGTCAAGCACCTGCTCGAAGGGAAAGAAATCCCAATCCCGATTCGGCCGCCGAAGACGCAGCTTCACCTCCGAACCCGCTCCCACATTCAAACCCAAAAGCGACGGATTTGTCGGACTTCCTCGACATTAAACCATAATTCAATAATAAAACCCTAAAACCCTAACCCTTAAAAGAGATCAAATGCACAAGAGATGGAGAGTAAGAGAGATAGAATATGGATAAAAGGAATTAGGGTTTTAGGTACCACCTGAACTCTGAGAGAAGTTTGACTCGCCATTTACGCCGCCGCATTATAGGTTGAACCTGCTTACTGATGCGATCGAGGATTTTGCGAGCATCGTCCTCCCCTGGCTTCTTCAGGACCTTAATCTCCCATACCTTGTGCAAGCTTTCGAGATTCATATCAACTTTTATACGGAGAAACAATTGAACTAATCAAGACTGAATGATGCCTGATTGACAAGAATGATAAGTCGATGAACTCGTCAGTGACGCAGAACAACTATGGTCATATTTAGCTTGAATGTTGCAGCTGACTAAGCTTATTGAGATAATCTATAACAGATGAGGTCGTGAGTAGATAAACCTATTGATGTTGCAGTTGCTGTTCAAAATTATCAACCCATCTTTGTGTTTTGGTTGACTTACTGCGTCCCGTAGTTCGGCGGATTTAACGGATTTAAACGAGAGAATAGGCGAGCCCTCACAAGGTCGCCGAAACTCCGGCAATGTATTCGTCGTCGATCTCCGGTCACAATTCACGCGCCTCGGCCTGCTTTTTCTTCGAGTGATTCGAGGGAGGGCGGAGAGCGGTGAAGACTTCTCCGTTTAGGGTTTTGGGTGGGAGCGGAGAGAAATCGGCTGGCAATATTTTCATTTATAACGCTAACTAAAATTTATTTAGAACGGAAGGCGTTTGAATTTAGCCCGAAGAAATCGGTATATATATATATATATATATATTTACAGTAATGACCGGAGGCTATGATACGAGCTCTGACTATCCCTCATGTGTCTAATAATTCGATTACCACACCCTACACCCTGGGGGATTCAAATCGCATAATAGGAAAAATCATTATTGATGATGTGTTATTCAGAATAACGCGATGAAATATTCCCATAACACGGCGACAATGATAAATAAAGCAAAAAAATATGCTTTGACTTTGTAACACATCCGTCTGGTCGGGTTGGATCGCGCATTTTCAATTTTTTTTTAATTTTTTATGTAGGTGAGTCGGACTTCCATGTGTCAGCGTTAGACTGAACTCCGCAAACAGCTCTGCATGTGGAGTTTTGATGTAATAATTTTTCTCGTAATAGAGGGGACTTACAACTGATAAGTAGATGTCTGACCAACTTATTTGAATACACAGTTATTGTGATGGGTCACAGGCTAATTTTGAGTCGATTTAGAACTTAGAGATAAAAAATATATATAAAAAATTTTTAGACTTACTCTCAATTTTGAGTAGGATGGGGCGGTTTCTAAACTGAAACAGATCTAAATAACAATTCGAGCAAGTTTGTTTCGATGTTTCGCCAGATCAAGCTCAATTAAATTTCAAGCCAGCTCAGCTTGAAGTCAAATATAACAAACTACCAGCTAATTTCAAGCCCATTAAATCTATTTGAGTCGGCCCAAGCTCTCGATTCAAAATCGGATCTTTAAGATTCCTAACGAGATGAGTATTTCGATTGCCACGTGTGGTGCGGCGTGCATGAGTTATTGGTTTAGAAAATTTATTCGGCTATTAAAATTTCAATAGAAAATAGAAATTAAAAGGGGTATTCCTTTGAATATTAAATAGCTTCACAATATATGATGTTTAAGTTCTTCTTTCCATGATTTATCTTGCACGTGTTTGTCGTTTAATTTCTAAGTATTCATGTATACAACGTTTAAATTTTATTTTTTATATTTATACGGCTCATTGAATCTGAAATTGTCAAAGAAACACACCCAAACAATAGTTATTTTAGTGTTTTAGGTATATAGGATCAGTGTTTTTGTTCTTGTTGACTGGTTCTGTCGTGTATTGTTGACTGGTTCTGCCGTGTATGAGCAGTCTACCGATCAATTTACTAATAGTTGAGACTCACCTTTCAGAGTCATGGTTGTGAATCAGTTTTGAGTCCATTGGGCCAAGTTCTTTGACTTGATCGGAGCCGATGTTTGTCGATCGGTTGTCGTGATTGGTTGGTCGATTAGACTCATGATTTTATCAAATTTGTATATTATTTAATTCGTGCTGACACATTTTCTAGGTGACGAATATATAAGAAATTAAAGTTTATGCGTTTGGTTTGTAGATGAGTGGAGTGGTACGTGTGAAAATTTTCCCAAATTTTATTCACTAACCGATACTGCAAATTTTTTTAAATATAAACATGATTAGACGTAAATACATAGGAATTGAGTGGTGAAAAATTGGAAGGAGTGAGAACGGTGCAACTGCATTGGACATGATCCATAGAAAGCTGCTGTTTTTTACGATCGGATTCGGTTGTCCTTTCTTCTCAATCATACAACTACCGTTGGATTACATTAACATGTAAAACACGTGGCAGTTTTCTAACGGCTCACATTTTATCACTCGTGGGAGCTGAAAATAGCAAATCAAAGCAATGATGAAAAGGCCGACAAAAAATAATGGGATTTTTATTTTTTTATTTAGAAAATAACTTTTCAGGCCTATGAAGATGTAATCAAAATAATTATTTTTGTTTTAGTGGATAACAAAAATAATAAAAAATAAATCTCAACAATTTTGATAGCTGTCGGGTGATTATATGGTTAAGATTTATATTGCACGAAAATTTAGCATACACACAGATAATTAAAAAATTATGTGATCGAAAACTTCAGTTTCTTAAGAAAAAGTCTTGAAAGAGGAAGAGACTTAACACAGTTGAAACAATACACTATGAATTATAAATACATAAGTTTATTCTTCCTTTAAATTATTGAATTATAAAAGATGTAGTTACAAAATTGAACATCGGGAATGTGCGATAGCATTTAATTGATAATAACTATAGTTTAATTATAATGGATGTAATGATCGATGATAGCAAGCTGTTGCAATCCATTGATACTAAAATAATAGTCCGTTGTGAATGTTATTGACGGTAGACACAGCATCAACTTATCATATAGATTATTATTGAAAGTCGTGATAGTAGTTGGTTTTGGGGGTCACATACGGTTGATTTAGGAGCGTTGGTTTGTTACATATGTCATAGTAGAAAGCAACACGAATTGTGAATTACTCGAATAGTAATTGGTCACATAAGTCGTAGTGTTAAGCTATAATGATGTTCGTAGCTTGCAGGAACTGTACTAGTTGTGGGCCCAACTTGTGATAAAAAAGGTTGGAGGGACAAATTGGCCTAAGAGCCGGTCGAACCAAATAGATCGATCTAATTGCCTTTAACGAATTGATATGATGAACCAAACTTAAAGTTAATTGAAGCAAATCAATAAATAAACGAAATAATAATGACAACATTAAAAATAAATAAATAAATAAAACTCAGACGGCCATTCAACAATTATAGACTTCAACCCCAACTTATAATAAGCTAAAGTTGCATTCGAAAGGACAAGACAACATTAAAACGACCTTTCAAAATGGGAAGAAATATATTTATTTCCCCGAATCTACCTGCCCAGTAAGTATCCTCCTCTCTCCCACCGCCACGTGTCAGTCCTATCTCCCAACTATAAATCGCCTCATCCCTTCCATATTGGCCACCAAGTTCTCATTTTTAGCACTCTCCCATCACTTTTGCAGAGCACTGATCAACGATCAGGATGTGGCGGGCAGCATCAAAGCAAGTGATCCGGACCGTCGGTTCCTCCCTCTCCGACCTCTCCCCTCTCCGGAAGCAGCTCCATGTACTCTAATCCATCTCTCGTACTCCCTTCTCTTCCCAAAGCTTTCGTTTTTTTGGAAGATTTACATTTGTATTTGCATGCCCACCACTTATACTTCAATATTTAGGTGCTGTAAATGTTTTGATGGAATATTGGTGGCATGTATGTAAATGCCCCTTCCGTTTTCTCCTCCAAAAGAGGGATTTTTATGTAAAAAGGTCTCATCTTTTTTATTTTTGTGTAATTTTTTGTTTTGCAGGCTACTCCTGGGAAAAAGAAAATAGTGGGTGTGTTCTATAAGGGGAACGAGTATGCAGAGAAGAACCCTAATTTTTTGGGGACGGTGGAGAGGGCTTTGGGAATCAGAGAGTGGTTGGAAAGTCAAGGCCACCAGTACATTGTCACTGATGATAAAGATGGCCCTAATTCCGGTTTGCGAATCAAATTTTGTTGGTCTTTTACATAACAATCACCCAAAATTTTAAATATTATATTTGGCCACCTAAACTTTTTTGGGCGTTTGAAATGTAAAATTTGAAGTTTAGATGATCAATCAGTTATATTTCAAGTTTAGAGTGATTTTATACTTAAAAATCCCAAATTTGTTTCATCAAGCAATATATATATATATATATCTTATGTATTTACATATATACGCCCAAACTTTGGTTTTTTAGATCATATCACTTAAATCTTCTATATCACATTAAAAATGCCACCCTTTTAACTAAAACAAGGTGGTATGTATGTACAATTGAAGTTTAGGTGTTAGATATGTAAATAGGTAAGAATTGTGTGGTATGTATGTAAATCTTCCTTTTTTTAAACTGTTCCCTATTAGCAAAAACTTAAATAATAAACCTTATTATTAGGAGCTGTGTGGAATTTTGGTATGATTGGGGAATGGCACTGCAATTCTTATATGTAGGATTCAGTAAATCCGACAATTCGGGGGATAGATTTTAATTTAATTTTTAATGAACTTTAATTATTAATATTATTTATAAAATAATATTTAAATAAATTGATATTATTAACTAAATATGAATCGTTATCTTATTAATTTAAAAATTAGTAATTAATGATTAGTTTGAATGTTATTTTGTATTAATTGTGATTTAAGATGTATAATAATTTTAATAAATTTTCAATTGATGATATTCATGATTAAATTTGATTACATTGAAATTATTAAATTTAACCATTTTAATAAATTATTGTATTATTATCATGGATGGTTTACATATATACCACTCACTTCCTTTGTATTTACATATCTAACATTCAAACCTCAATTTTTACTTACATGCCCGCCTTACCCATGCCTTACCCATGCATTAAGTGGTGGTATTTTTATTGTGATGCAAAAGATTCCGGTTGTATAAACATAAAAATGTAAACTTTAGGTGATAGATATGTAAATACATAAGAATTAAGTGGTATGCATGTAAATATACCCATATCATCATTTATCATTATTTGATTTCTTAGGGCTGTGGGGTTTTAATGAAAAAATATAATTTTTATCATTTGCAATCATTTTTTTACTCTTTCAACCTTCATTCTGTCTTCTATTACTTATGGATAATTACATGCAGACCGCCCGAAACATTGATATTTATATCTTCATCCATCCTGCAGAACTTGAGAAGCACATTCCTGACCTCCATGTTCTAATCACCACCCCCTTCCACCCCGCATACGTCACCGCCGAACGAATCAAAAAAGCCAAAAACCTCCAACTCCTCCTAACCGCCGGCATTGGCTCCGACCACATTGATCTCAAAGCCGCCGCCGACGCGAAGCTCACCGTCGCTGAAGTCACCGGAAGCAATGTCGTGTCCGTCGCAGAAGACGAGCTCATGAGAATTCTCATTCTCGTTCGAAACTTCGTTCCCGGTTATCAGCAGGTCATCAATGGCGATTGGAACGTTGCCGCAATCTCTTATCGGGCTTACGACCTCGAAGGCAAGACCGTCGGAACCGTCGGCGCCGGCCGAATAGGAAAGCTTTTGCTGCAGCGGCTGAAGCCGTTTAATTGCAATCTCCTCTATCACGATCGGTTGAAGATCGATCCGGAGTTGGAGAAGGAGATCGGAGCGAAGTTTGAGGAAGATCTTGATGTTATGCTTCCTAAATGTGATGTTGTTGTGATTAACACACCTCTTACTGAGAAGACAAGGTAAACTATTTCTCTTTTTTGCATCATAATTTATTTTTACATAATATTGAGTTGGAATCTGGTAATTACATTTCTAATTACATTTTGGGTGAAAAATGCAATTTTGTTTTTAGGGGATTGTTTGATAAGGAAAGAATTTCAAAGTTGAAGAAGGGAGTTCTTATTGTTAATAATGCTAGAGGAGCTATTATGGATACTCAGGCAGTAGTGGATGCTTGCAACAGTGGACATATTGCAGGTAATTCTGCTGAATGTGCTGAAAGATTGTAAAAATTATATATATTTTTTTAAATTAAATCTTTTAAAATTAGGAAGATTTACATAATTACCAGTCAAGTTCTGTGTATTTACATATCTGTCACCCAAACTTCAATTTTTACATGCATGTCATCTTACCTGTGCATGATAAGGTCTGTTTCTTCACATTTTTAAAGTCAGAATTGTGATTTTTTTGATGAGATATGAAATATTTGAGAGGTGTAAATGTAAATAAGGTAAAGTTTGGGTTTTACATATATAAATACATAGAAATTGAGTGCTCTAGAAAATGAATGAATTATCTCACCATCTATGTCATATGTTACAGTTCCTTTTATGCTTTATATTATATATATACGTAAATAATAGGAAGATTTACATACATACCGCTCAATTCCTGTGTATTTACATATTTAACCCCTAAACTTCAATTTTTACATACATATACCATTTTTCTATGCAAGAAAAGCTGCATTTAACTTTTTTTCTAAAGTTAAAATACTAGTATTTTTTATGTTATGTGAAAGATTTGAGTGGTATAAATATAAGAAAAGAAATGTTAAGGGTGTTAGATATGTAAATACATAGGGGTTGGATGGTATTTATGCAAATGCCCTTATATATTATACTGTATTATATTATTTATTTAATAGATATTCATAATGGTTTCAGGCTACAGTGGTGATGTGTGGAATCCACAGCCAGCTCCAAAAGATCACCCATGGAGATACATGCCAAACCAGGCCATGACTCCTCATGTTTCAGGCACAACCATTGATGGCCAAGTAATAACCCCAAACCCCTTAAACATTTATTTATTGTAAGTTTTACATATATACCATTGAATTCTTACACATGCATTTACATATCTAAACACCTAAACTTTAATTTTTATATACATGTCCATATGAAAGATTTTAGTAAGGTATGAATGTTTGTTAGATATGTAAATACATATGACTTGAATGGTATGTATGTAAATATTAATATGATTATAAAATTATGAATGAATGCTGATTTTTGAAGCTGAATATTTGCAGCTGAGGTATGCGGCTGGTGTGAAGGACATGCTTGACAAATACTTCAAAGGAGAAGACTTTCCTCAGCAGAACTATATTGTGAAGGAAGGCAAACTTGCAAGCCAGTACCTGTGAATCTGTGATTTTCACTTTCTACTCGGTCTGAGGGGCAGCTGCCTTATTATATGATCATCTAAATAACCCTTTGCTGGTGGAGTTAGTCTGGTCTCTGTGTATTCTCTTGTTTGATGCTTTGTGTGTGGGTGTGAAGTAGTTTCTATGGTGTTTAATGCAAATAAAATTCTAGAAATTGTTCGGGTGTTATTGCTAATATTACTTTTTTTTTTTCAGTTTTTGCAATCGTATATTATAGGAAAATTTTCATAGATGGTAATATCCGTTATATTCATCAAAATTGTCAATTTTAATCCAGTGATTAGTGCTTCATACTCTGCTTCGTTGTGTGTGCACGGCTCTGTCAGGTGGTAGGAGAATCTCAACATGCCTATATAACTTCATATCCGACTGCTAAACTTCAATTTCTACATTTGTCACCTTATTTGTGCGTGAAAGCGAAAATGTTTATTTTATTTTTTGAAAAATTAGGATATCACGGTTCGATATGTAAATATATAAGAATTGGGTGGTATTTGTAGATGCCCCTATTTTATTTTATGTGTATTGCTCAATTACTAAAAATAGAAGAAAAGATGGATTTATGGGAATGTTATGTAATTTTTATGTATTTTTATATTAACATAAAGTATGTATTCATATAATATTCAAATCTTTATAAAATAACTTTAATTTTTACATTAATATCACTCAAAATTTTCATACCAAATAAACAATAGTGGCATTTACAGCTCAATTCTTATGAATTTACACGTCTAATCCGAACAATTTGTTTTTTTACATTTATATAACTAAATTATCATATCAAGAATTCCACAAATTTTAACTTGTAAGGAATGAAATGAAACTTTTTATGTATATGTGAAGGTTAAAGCTTAAGGGTCTGTTTGGGGCAGCTGCAGCTTATCCAGCTTCTGCTGATAAGCAGCTTATCCTGATAATCTGCTGATGAGCAGCTGATCCGGATAAGC